TCTAACCTAGAGTGCTCGGGGAATATCTGCCTGGTCGGATGCAATGGTGCTAAACTACCTTGCAAAAAGATAAATAAAGCATAATAAGGAAATAAATAACCAGAAAAACGGACAGCATAACGGCTTAAATAAAGACAACACACAGTTGGCAAACACAAGCTAAAAGAACTATTCTCAACCACTGATCACTGTTTCCAAATCATTGCCCCGAATCTGAATATGATACCCACAGGTAAAACTGATTCCGAAAATACTAATGCCCGCAAGTCTCATACCCAGACTTGCAAACTGATATGTGCATTCCTGTAGAGGCCAACTCTAAAAGCACATAGCAAACAAGTGAGAGCCAAAACACCCCTATGGAGGGGTAGGGTTTCCCTGCCCTATTGTCAGGAGCTAGGGTTTCACTACGCACACAACAGTTTCAAACAACCTATAATCGGGTAAGTAACATGTCCTAGTTGGGAATGGTCACTACAGTTTCCGATATGCACTAGGTCGAATGGTCAAAAAGGGTGCCTCGGTAAAAATCAGGGTTTGTGTTCCCGTTGTGGCAAAGCCCGCAATCGGTCAGCCTTATGGCACGCTTCTCAAAGTAAGCCTCTGGCAAACACGGTGTCCTAGTCGCACCAATGTAAACGCAATGCAAAGAGACACATAAGTGTAATCAAAACAAGATATCATGAGTTCGAGTCAAGTTCCCTAAATCCCAGCAGAGTCGCCAGAAACTGTAGATGTGCCCGAACGTCCCGGGCTCTGCGCGCAAATGGCGCAAAATCCGTTTTTGTTCATTAGCTACTACAGTTCAGACTCAATGTCATGGTTCTGAATCAAATCTCGCAAAGTGCAATGCAAGACCGATAAATCACCAAAGAGTCCAAATCCGGCAAATCGTTTTAGAAAATCAATTTTTATAAAGAAGTGCCAAACATGGACTAATTTTCCAGATACAGAGTCGCCACCTAAATGTTTTATTTTTGGGGAAATTTAGGAAACCTTGACTCGTGCCTAAGGCCACGTGTCCGTCATCACCAAAGTTGTCTCGGCTCGGGAACTTGGGTACGGAAGGGGAAGGTCATGCAATGAGCACCCCCGCTCGCCCGATCAAAGGATCGGCCTTTACTAACATGATATTTTGTTTTTGAAAACACATGTGTTCTTATTCTGGTTTTTTAGCAAGAATTATTATGTGATGCGCACAACATACAAGTGTAGACTAGATCGCCTAAGTTGAAACAAAACATCTCATATTTGTTTGAAAATGGTTTGAAGGTGCTACTCGCAAGTAGGCTAAAATGTGGATTTGCCACCCTCGAGTGGGCTTAGAAAACATGATTTTGCCACTCTCAAGTGGACTTAAAACTCACATTTCGATGAATTGTTCCAATTCAAGTAATCTAACCTTCATCCACAGGCATTCAAGCAAATTACCCAATAATTACATATTTTAGGAGAAAGATGTAAGTTTCATTAATTTTACATTTTGGACTTCTCAATTTGAATTTTACGATTTTTTGCCATTAATTGAAAATTTCACTATGCTAATACGGTAAAAATTCTCATAAGCAATGAAATTTCATTGTTCAAATAACAATATACTCAATTTAATTATTTAATTTTTTTATATAGAATTTTATATTCATCATATATCTGGTTTGATTTTAACAAATTCCAAAAACAAATTGGTTATGGGTTCGCTTGGAAAGTGGGTTGACTTTTTGGCCTTTTGACTTTTTTGACTATCAGCTAAAAAGCCTTATTTGCGAAGGATTTTTGGTTTTTTTAACTTTTTTGTGAGAGAAAGAATGTAATAATTATGGGTTGGATGTGATATTTTGTCTTATTAAGTTAAATTTTTTTTTTTATTTTTTGTGGCTAAAATAGTCAAACAAACCCCAAACTTGGCTTCACAAACGAAGCTTATATATCTTGTTTGATTTCAACAAAAAAAAAAAATCGAAAAAACTAATTTTATCAGAAAGAAAGATCTACATAAAAAGTAATAAAATTATTAATCCTTTTCATTAGAAATGGTAACGGGACGGGGCGAGGCGGGGCAGGGCAGGGTCGGGGATCACACTTCCCGTCCCCGATCCCTAATTTGTGAAAACCTCTCCGTCCCCGGCCCCGATCCCTGACGGGAGATCTATCACCGCCCTCATCTCCACCCCCTACGGGGATCGGATTTCCCCAACCCCAAAAATTTTCCGGTCCAAATCTGTTTCAACAACACCATCAACAACATCATGAACAACAACATCATCATCCCCAATTGTTTCATTTTTAACATCACCATCAGTATCAACAAAATCATTAACAGGTTACAGGTCCACAAACATCAACAAAATTATCAACATGTATACAAATACATATATACACAAACAGATCTGTGACACATAGATACAAAAACAGATATGTGACACAGAGAGAGAGAATGGATAGATTTATGATAGAGAGAGAGAGAGGAGGACAGAGGCGATGGACGATTGGCGACGACGATGGAGGCAATGAGCGACTGTGATTGCGACGAAGGAGGAGGACAATCAGCGTCACAGATAGTGGCAATAGCGGTAGCGGTGGCGCTGAGGAGGAGGAGAGGTGCGAAAGTGAAAGAGAGTAGAGGGAAGAGAGAGAGAGAGAGAGAGACTTTTTTGACTATCAGCTAAAAAGCCTTATTTGCGAAGGATTTTTGGTTTTTTTAACTTTTTTGTGAGAGAAAGAATGTAATAATTATGGGTTGGATGTGATATTTTGTCTTATTAAGTTAAATTTTTTTTTTTATTTTTTGTGGCTAAAATAGTCAAACAAACCCCAAACTTGGCTTCACAAACGAAGCTTATATATCTTGTTTGATTTCAACAAAAAAAAAAAAATCGAAAAAAACTAATTTTATCAGAAAGAAAGATCTACATAAAAAGTAATAAAATTATTAATCCTTTTCATTAGAAATGGTAACGGGACGGGGCAAGGCGGGGCAGGGCGGGGTCGGGGATCACACTTCCCGTCCCCGATCCCTGATTTGTGAAAACCTCTCCGTCCCCGGCCCCGATCCCCGACGGGAGATCTATCACCGCCCTCATCTCCACCCCCTACGGGGATCGGATTTCCCCAACCCCAAAAATTTTTCGGTTCAAATCTATTTCAACAACACCATCAACAGCATCATGAACAACAACATCATCATCATCATCCCCAATTGTTTCATTTTTAACATCACCATCAGTATCAACAAAATCATTAACAGGTTACAGGTCCACAAACATCAACAAAATTATCAACATGTATACAAATACATATATACACAAACAGATCTGTGACACATAGATACAAAAACAGATATGTGACACAGAGAGAGAGAATGGATAGATTTATGATAGAGAGAGAGAGAGGAGGACAGAGGCGATGGACGATTGGCGACGACGATGGAGGCAATGAGCGACTGTGATTGCGACGAAGGAGGAGGACAATCAGCGTCACAGATAGTGGCAATAGCGGTAGCGGTGGCGCTGAGGAGGAGGAGAGGCGCGAAAGTGAAAGAGAGTAGAGGGAAGAGAGAGAGAGAGAGAGAGATGGGTGAGAATCAGCGATTTATATATATATATATATATGGGCAAAATAATAATTTCACTTCGGAGACAAATGGGAACGGGAATGGGGACGAGCCGGGTACGGGGCTAGGACACTTATCCCCGTCCCTGGCCTGAAATTGATCAGGGATTAATTTGTGAATACCATCACCGCTTCGTTGGGGATATTTTTTAGAAAAAAATAGCTCACATCGGGATCGGAGGGTCGGGTCTCCGTCAAGCCGGGTTCAAATTGCCATCCCTACTTTTCATGAATATATAATAACAACCATGATATAGATCCTCACTATCCCCCACCCCCACTACCCCACACTTACGTGAGGGTTAATGATTGAAAAAAAAAAAAACTTTTTTGACCAATGACCACCCACTGCAAATCTTGGGAGTCTCCCAATGGGAGTCCCAAGCATTATACATATAATAATTATAAAAAATATATATTAATAACTAAAATTATAAATCCTTTCATGAATATATATAATAATTTCTAAAATTATGCTGTTCCCCAATTTTTTACTACGCTTTGGACTCTTTCCGAAAGAGTCAAAAGCTTGACTCAGCCGTTTTTAACCGCCTATTCTATACTAAAAATGGTTAAAAAAAAAGAAAAAAGAAAAAAGAAAAAGAGGCTTTGGACCCTGTTAACACTGTTGCTCAACCGTTATAATTCAAAACACCCAAAAATCAAATCCCACTCGCCCCTCCGTGTCCCCAACCCCAAACTCTCTTCTACAACCGTACACATACCTTACAACACACACGTTTCACAAATATAAAGCGAGTACAACATTTCTGTTCACACAAGAGAGTACAAGTAACAAAAACACACACCTCCCTCTCTTTTTGCCCCGCCATTTCTGTCTTTCCCGGCACATTTAATGCCTCCCTCTCTGCTCAAACCGTAACGCATGTTGTAGCGAGAGACAGATACAGCTATATAGACAGAGAAAGTGTTGGTTTTTAGAGAAAAAACTATTCAATTTTAATAACACGAGTCACTAATATATATCTCAACAATGATAAGTGATTCAAAAAATTATAATTTAAATAGTTCAAAGCATTTATAATGTTATTTTTAAAAATTAACGTCGTTCTAACACATTCAAACCATTCGAACGACATAATTTCTTCCTATATATCTTATGTTTCAATTCTATATTTTTCATTAATCACAAAGCCTTTAAACTGTACTTGCTGTGCTCCAGAATACCAATAAATAACCACTCTTTCTAGAGAGAGAGAGAGAGAAAGGCGGGCCATAAATGCAAAGCCCAGCTCAACTACCTCTCAGATTATAGGAAGGAGTAGATGTATTATACTATATAAACTTGAATGAATCCTCAACCACACACACTATCTCTTATCTTCACCATTTTTAGAGCTAATTGGAGGTTTGATTGAATCGAATTGAAGATGTGGAACTCTGCGGAGAACCTGTCAGTGAGGTCGGCGTCGTTCAGGGAAGACGAAGACGATGAGGAGGCGCTCCGGTGGGCGGCGCTGGAGAGATTGCCGACTTATAGCAGAGTGAGGAAGGGCATTTTCACGAACATTGTTGGAGACTCCAAAGAAATCGATGTTAAGAAGCTTCAAGTTGATGAGAGAAAAGTCGTGTTGGATCGGCTTGTGAATTCTGTGGAGGATGATTCTGAGAAGTTCTTCGATCGGATGCGGCGGCGTTTCGATGCGTGAGTCCTCACTTCTCCTTCATTACTTTTGGCTAATAATAACATCTTCAATACGTCACCAATTCTTTCATCAAATTTTATGAAATTTGATAAAATATGTGCGGCGCAAAATTTTTTAAGACCTTCAACTAAAGCCTTATTTAATTGAATCTTTGAAAAATTGGAGCAAAATGAATTTTTTTAACTTTTCAAAAAAATAAAATAAAATTATTTTATTTTATAAAATTAAAGTCTAAGTGGCTTAATGATTGAACTATCATGTTTGACGAATAAACAGCTAAAAGTGAGATTTGATCATTTCATCAAACATTTATCAAATTAAGGACGGGCAAAATTTTTACTAAATTTTCAACCGTCATATTTTTATTAAAATTTGATTTGATGAAATTTTAGACAGAGTAAGGATTGGAGATGGGTTTTTTTTTTTTTTCATAAAAATGGTCAAAATATGTTTTTAGGAAAAGATTGGAGTTTTACATACCAGATCAAGTTTTTAACCAATTTTTTACTCAAATTTGATGATATAATTGATTGATAGTTTAGTAGTAGTTATTGTTAGGTTAATTTCACTTTGATAACTAAATTATTACTCTATTTTTATTTATTTATTATTTCATCTCTAAATTATCAATTTTGTCTATTTAATTTGTAGAGTTTGTGATTTTTGTTCATGTGAAACAAAGGTTGAAGCCTAATTTAATGGGACAAATGTTATGTCGGAATTTAAACAATTTAAACTATACAACAAAACACTCTTTTTCCTTATTATTTTAAACAAACTACACCTCAGAGCTAATTTCATTCATGTTTATTTGTTTGATTTAAATTATTAAAATTGTAAAATTACCTTTTTGCTAATCAAATTAGGCTTCAATAGTTATTGATTTGTACAATTGTCTCTAATTGGATCACTTGAACAAAATTAAAAAATTTAAGGACTAAATAGACAAAATTGATAGTTTACAGATGAAATAGAAAAAATGGTGATAATTTGGGAGATAAAAAGTAAAATTAATCCTTCTTGTTAATTATGTGTGTGAGAGTTGCTTCTTCTTCTTCTTCTTCTTTTTTTTGGATTTACTTTCTGTTTGTTTGGTTTCTGAGAAAGCTGAGGGAAGGATGGAAAAACTGTTAGTTGGATTGGGTTGGATAAACTCGCTTCAACTAGGCTAAGGATTTGGATAAAGCTTAGTTCAGTGGATAATTAAGTTTCAATTTACACAAATAAAGAAAAGTCCATGATCATTTTTTTAAAAATTTTTTTCCTTTAATTTTTAGCCTCCGTTTGGGAAGGAAGGTTTGGACTAAAATAGTCATATAAGACAAAATAGACTATTTTAGTCTAATAAGACAAAATATTACATCAAACTCATAATCATTACATTCTTTCTCTTACAAAAAGTCAAAAAAGCCAAAAAAAACCCTTCTCAAACGAGGTGTTTTAGCCTCAGGTTAAAAAAGCCAAAAAATTGAAAAGTCAACCCACTTCCCAAACGAATCCTTAATCAACCTGATGAAACATTTCAGCCTTTTGTCTGTAATAATAATTCATTGCGAACACTTTTGAATGTAGTGTTTTCATTTGCTTTGCAAAAAACATGAATTTTTATGCTATTTTTACATGATGATTTCAATAATTAGAGACGCTTCCTATCTTCTAGAAAAGTGAAAATTTGTTATCAACTCTGAATTATAGGTGTTGTTCTTTCTTACCAAAGTGTACAGTTCACTATCTATATATTTTTCATTTGCTTGATCAAATAAATGGATTTATTATTTTTCTCATGTATGGCGTTGCAGAGTAGAACTACAGTTTCCAAAGATTGAGGTGCGATTTCAGCATCTGACTGTGGAGTCTTTTGTACATGTTGGAAGCAGAGCACTGCCCACTATTCCAAATTTCCTTTTCAATATGTCTGATGTAAGTTTTACTAAATTACTCATTGATACAAGTTTCATCATTCATAATTCTCTTGTTTACTTATTTGTTTGTTAATTTTTGTAAAGGCTTTATTAAGGCAGTTGCGGGTATACCATGGCAGGAGACAAAAGTTAACAATTTTAGATGATATTAGTGGGATTATTAGACCTTCCAGGTGCATATAGAATTTAAAATTTCAACTGCATTTGGTGAGAATTTGATCAGGATTTGATGAGGTATCTTGTTTCTGCCAGATTGACACTACTTTTGGGTCCTCCAAGTTCTGGAAAGACAACACTGTTATTGGCTCTTGCTGGCCGCCTTGGACAGGATTTGCAGGTATGAAAGCTCCGAGTGTCTTGCATGGCAATTGACACACTACTTTTGCAAGTGGTCATGCTTATGACCACTAGCGTAGAAAAATTCCCCTATTGTGGCTATTTCTTTTTTAAGAAAATTTTATATATATAAAAAGATAAAAATAAGAAACTGAGAATGTCATTTCATGCTGCTCTTCCACACATTGGCTTTGGTTCACATCTTTTATTACCTCTGGCCCTTCAGTAAAAAGGGTTGAATGGTGTTGTATTGTGTTTATTGACTAGAAATGAAGTTTAATTTGTTAATTTATTCATTTTTCTTTTAATTGTCCTTTTTCCCACCCTCTTCTTGGCGGGAGAAGGGGGAGTGGTGGGGAAGGTGGGGAAAGGTGGAAAGAAGGAAAAATGAAATTTTAGGAGAGGTTAAAATTTGTGTGGAACTTTGAATGCATCTAGGCTTAAGTTAACTTCAAGGCTTCTGCATAATTTCCCATGCTATATCTAACTTTCCCAATGTGGTGTATGGATGTATCTAGTTATGCAATACTTTCCATATTAGATTGGCATCATTTATGGGACATGGATATTCCTTTGTCTAGCTCTATTGCTTCATTAAATGAATTCACATGACTCATGAAGTTTTTTTTTTCTTCTTCTGCAAATTGTGCCTCCCTTAATATCTTTGATTACCTTGAAGATGTCAGGGAGCATTACATACAATGGACATAGTTTAAATGAGTTTGTTCCTCAGAGGACATCTGCTTATGTCAGTCAACAAGATTGGCACGTGGCAGAGATGACAGTGAGGGAGACTCTTGACTTATCAGCTCGTTGTCAGGGTGTTGGATATAAATATGGTAAGCTAAGGAAGATAGTGTGTGCATGCTTGTGTATGTGTGGAAGTCACCTAAATGCTGAACAATGATAATCTACAACAGATATGCTTCTGGAACTTTCACGAAGAGAGAAAATTGCTGGAATAAAACCTGATGAAGATCTTGATATACTTATGAAGGTACATGTTTCTTACAAATGGAATTGTTTTTCTTCTTGTCCAAAAATATTATTTGAGTTAATTATTTATTTATACTGCTATATTTCTATATTTTCTTTCTCTTTGAAAGGCATTAGCTTTAGGAGGCCAAGACACGAGCCTTGTTCTGGAGTACATTTTGAAGGTATTTTCCAGATTCTGGTTACTCTTGAATGCATAGTATTTCTGATACTATTCATCTTTGTCTTAGATTTCTCTGAACTTTCACATTTTCACTAATTCACTCCATAAATGACTAGTTTTTAATTTTTTAATGGCTGCAAGGCCTTATGTATTCCTTTTCTTTTGTTTATTCCTGTTCAACTTTTGTCATTGCTTTCGCAGCTACTTTTTACATAACCTACGATGACCTGAAAGATTTTAGGGTAAAGCAGGACTGAAATTGAAGATGGCGAACATACCTTCAGTAGGAATAAGGGTAAATTAGAGAGATGTCAGAGAGTTTGTTTGAATAGTTTATTATAGTTAGCTAAAAAGATGAGGAGTCCATGAAATGACTTTCTGGTTACTGTTGCTATTCAACAGGGTAGTAGTCACACTGTTAGTATTGAAACTGATTTGAAAAGGAAAAAAGTGCTCCTCAGAGAGTGCAGTCACACCATAAAATTCAACATTTATCAAGTCATTCCAACACTTTTCGTTGCATTCACTTACAACAAGAAACAACCACCAGTGTTTGGCGCGGCACCTGCATTTTGGTGCATTCTTCTTTCTTTCCTTGGTACTAAAATTTATCTGACAAAGATTTTAGGTTTGGACATTTGTGCGGACACACTAGTGGGAGATGAAATGCTTAAGGGAATCTCCGGTGGCCAGAAGAAGCGGCTTACTACAGGTATATGCTTGATTTTTTTTATGTTTCCTGGTTACTAGAAAGCTAGATGTGTTTACTTTTGCTGACATGAAAGACATATTTGCGTAGGTGAATTATTAGTGGGGCCATCTAGAGTGTTGTTTATGGATGAAATATCAACCGGGCTAGATAGTTCAACTACTTATCAAATCGTCAAGTATCTTAGGCATTCAACTCGTGCACTTGACGGAACTACAATTATTTCTCTGCTTCAACCTGCTCCTGAGACTTATGAATTATTTGATGATATTATACTCATGTGTGAGGGCCAAATTGCTTACCAGGGGCCTCGTCATGCTGCTCTTGAGTTTTTTGCGTTCATGGGGTTTAGTTGTCCTGAGCGGAAGAATGTAGCAGACTTTCTTCAAGAAGTAAGTAGTGGAGATCATGGTTTGTGAATTACTGCTCTTCTATTGTATCTTACTTTGCGAAATTTCTATGCACAGGTTTTGTCAAAAAAAGACCAAGAGCAGTATTGGGCTAATCTTGATCTCCCTTATCGGTACATACCTGTGGTGAAGTTTGCTGAAGCATTTCGTTCATTTCGTGCTGGGAAGAATTTGTCTGAGGAACTGAATGTTCCATTTGATAGACATTATAATCATCCAGCAGCCTTGCCTACTTCTCGTTATGGCGTGAAGAGGAGAGAACTTCTCAAGACCAACTTTAACTGGCAGGTGCTACTGATGAAACGGAATTCATTTATCTATGTTTTTAAATTCATTCAGGTAATGTTGTTGTACCCTTAAAGCTTCCAAACTAATTTTTGATGATACATCAAATGAATATTGAAATCTTCTTGAACACCAAACCAAAACATTACAAGAAAATACTATTCATTGTTTTATGAGATCTTTTCATTTGGTTTGCTGTTCTGGAAGTATCCCAGTCATGCAATTCTAGATTACGATTTATGAATATTTGCTGTTTTCCAGCTCCTTCTTGTTTCTTTGATCACGATGAGTGTTTTTTTCCGAACAACACTGCATCATAATACAATTGATGATGGGGGCCTGTATCTCGGGGCACTGTACTTTGCTATGGTTATTATTCTTTTTAATGGCTTTACGGAGGTCTCAATGTTGGTAGCAAAGCTTCCAGTGGTTTACAAGCATAGGGACTTGCACTTCTACCCATGCTGGGCTTATACACTTCCTTCTTGGCTCTTGAGCATCCCAACTTCACTTATAGAGTCCGGTTTATGGGTGGCAGTTACATATTTTGTAATTGGATTTGATCCTAACATCATTCGGTAATGCTTATGCTTAGATGGAATTTTGCACGTGTTGACTTGGATACAATATTTCCCAATTCTAATATTTCAACTTGCAGATTCTTTCGCCAGTTCCTGTTATATTTCTTTCTGCACCAAATGTCTTTAGCTCTTTTTAGAGTGATGGGCTCCTTGGGTAGAAATATGATAGTTGCTAATACATTTGGATCTTTCGCCATGTTGGTTGTCATGGGTCTTGGTGGATATGTCATTTCAAGGGGTAAGCTGATATTTGTCTTATTTTTATTATGTTTTAGCTCTGAAATCACATGCTTATCCATTTTTCTTTATTGTAACAGATAGTATCTCACGTTGGTGGATCTGGGGCTTCTGGGTTTCTCCTTTAATGTATGCTCAAAATGCAGCTTCTGTGAATGAGTTTCTTGGACATTCTTGGGATAAGGTGATATGTTTATAAGATCATCTATTCAGTTTTGTTCAACATTTATCGTGAACTACTTTTTCTCTTAATCTACCATAGTATTACCATAGTGACAATCAGCTTCTTGCAAGCTAAAAGCTGATAATTAGGAGCAGAAGCTAAAATCACCCTTGCACTTTTCTCAATATTCAGTTTTTTCCAGCTTATTTAGCTATTTCTGCTTCATAAGCAGTAAGCTTAAGCTTCACCAAGCACTTTAGCACAAATTTCCAAAATAAAAAAAGCTATAAGCATCTCCATGAGCTGCATCAAACAGGGCCAATATTGAGTGTAGCAGATACTATGAACTGATGAATAAGACTAAGGATGTTAAAAAAATCCTAATGGATTTATTGCTCATTCTACAATTTCTACTACATCATTAATTAAATATTTTATTTTATTTTATTTTATTTTGAGACATGATAATGCACATTGTCTTTCTCAATGGCTATTGAGGAGCATGATTTAAAAATTTTGCTGAAATTGAAATTTATAGTTCATATGTGTCAATATTATCAGGACTCAATCTAACTTGGCAAGAGTTGTGCAATTATGATAGAAGAGCAGTGTTTAAAGAAGGTTATTTCAAGTAGTCAATTCTATCTAAATAATCTTCAGACTAAATTTGTAACCTAGCACATTACCATGTAGCAATACCACCTTCATGTTACGTCATCTAGCAGTAGTTGATTTCTGTCATTTCTGTCTCTCTACAGCACACACACACACACACACACACACAAAAGTTGAAAAACATCTTAAAAAATTATGAAGTTTCCCTACTTCTGACAAAACAATAGTTCTTGCTATGTTTTAAAGCAGACACTAAATTATATACAGAATTACTATAGTCAAACTTGGAGAAGGCCACCCTAATATTCTCCATGACAGTAATCATGCTCGAGGCACAAACCTATTAATCCAATTAATTACATAACAGTCTATTTAAGACAATAACAGTACTCGTTAAAACATGGCCCAAGAAAGTCGAGGCCAGGTCATTTTACTGAGTGTCATCTGATGGAAAGGCATTGCATCTTTCCATTGCTTTTTCCCTTTTTTAGTGTGTGTGTGGTACTTCACTTAGATGTGTATGAGTGCTTACACAGCTATGAGGCAAGATTGGAGCTTAGAAGCGTATGTGGTGAGCTGAACTCAGATTATTTATGTATCAGGGTTCAATTATATGTATTCCACCTTAAACAGCATTTCACTGCAATTTTCCATTAGTTAGCTGAAACTGCAACTTTTTTTCCACTTGCAGTTTAAATTTTCATATCTGAAGAGGTTGATGCCATACACCATGCATTTTGGGGCTTATAGAACTTTAACTACTCATATGTTGAAGTTATATGCTCCTCATGCATGTTTGTTAGATAAATTATCCAGTGAGTATTCCAGCCAGGATCGAAGCTTCGGGTTGTAGTCTTATTTGTGCACATAGGAACCATAGCAACTAACCTTATCGGATATCATTTGACCTTTCCTCCTTTGTTTACTTACGGTTATTTCTTGACCTGATTTGTTCATGCAGAGAGCTGGAAACCACGATAACATGACATTAGGCGAGGCATTGCTGCAAGCACGTAGTCTGTTTCCACAGAGTTATTGGTATTGGATCGGTGTTGGTGCTTTGTTCGGATATACCGTTTTATTCAACATCCTTTTCACTATATTCCTAACTTACCTCAATCGTAAGCCATCTTGCTTTGAATTATTTTATGAAAATCTTAACTTTTGTCACACAAAATAGCAAAACAAGTTGTCATAAATAGGGAACAAGGTGAGCATGAACACAGTTTTCTTATTTACTTTCTATTTTTTTTTTTGTCATATAGCTTTGGGGAGGCGTCAAGCTGTTGTTTCTGAGGAAGAGCTCCAGGAGAGAGACAAAAGAAAAAAGGGTGAACCTGTTATTATTCAGCTTAGACAGTACTTACAGCATTCAGGTTCACTAACAGGTTTGCAGTAATGCATTTATACTCTCTCTCTCTCTCTCTCTCTCACACACACACGCGCGCGCGCGCGCACACACACACACCAACTTGCAACTAAAAGTTTTCTTTTCTCTTCAACTTTAATGATTTGGCAGCGAAAAGTTTAAATCAAAGGGGCATGGTTCTTCCATTTCAACGACTTTCCATGTCTTTCAGCAATATCAATTATTATGTGGATGTGCCCATGGTATGTATATCTCTCATTCCCTTAAACATTCTTGTTTAATGTTTACTGAGAAGATATATCATTCTCATCAAATTATTGTTCCAGGAATTGAAGCAGCAGGGGGTATTAGAAGATAGATTACAGTTGTTAGTTAATATTACTGGAGCATTCAGGCCTGGTGTGCTTACTGCTTTAGTTGGAGTAAGTGGTGCTGGCAAAACCACTCTCATGGATGTGTTAGCAGGTAGAAAAACTGGTGGAGTAATAGAAGGGAGCATAAATATATCTGGTTATCCTAAAAATCAAGAAACTTTTGCCAGAATATCTGGTTACTGTGAGCAGAATGACATTCACTCCCCTTGCTTGACTGTTCTTGAATCACTTCTGTTCTCTGCCTGGCTTCGGTTACCTCAAGATGTTGACCTGGAAACACAAAAGGTATATATATATAAATATATATATATATATTTTTTGTTTTTTTATTTTGGTACAAGAGAGTGATGAATTGTTAAATTTTCAGGCTTTTGTTGAGGAGGTGATGGAACTTGTGGAGCTCACCCCGCTAAGTGGGGCATTAGTTGGTCTTCCTGGTGTAGATGGTTTGTCAACTGAACAAAGAAAACGGTTGACTATTGCTATTGAACTGGTTGCCAACCCTTCTATAGTTTTTATGGATGAACCCACATCAGGATTGGATGCAAGGGCTGCAGCCATTGTTATGAGGACTGTGAGGAATATTGTAAATACTGGGCGAACAATTGTCTGCACAATTCATCAGCCCAGCGTCGACATTTTTGAATCATTTGATGAGGTCCTTATCTCTATAATTGATAAAGAGCTTCTTTCATTTCTTCAAAATTACTTTTCTGTTCTCTTTGTATACATAGGGCAAGGCTAACAATTTCCTCTTGCGTACACTGCACTATGCATACTTGCTAATAAATACCAAGTGGCATAAATATGAAACTTTTACCAATTCTTGAAAAATAGGATACAAACATGCGCGTAAATTCTTGAAAATAGGACACCGACATAGAAAGGATATGTATTGTGCTTCTTACACAAAAAAACCGTCAGTATTATATGTTTTCATCTTACCAAACCCCTCATTGTATCTGCTTCTATGCTTTTCAATGGAGTGAGTTGACAATTTTGTTTGCACCCATGTAGCATTTTTATTTTTATTATTTATTTATTTTGTTTCTTTTTGTTTTTCTTGTTTCTTTCAGTCATTGAAAATTAAACACAAATATTTATCTTCAAGCATTTCTAACCCACACCTTTGTGTTGGGATGAGCTCTGTCATTTATTTCCTTAGACCTACATGGGATGATCAGCTAAATTTATTGTTTCACATTATATTCTTTTCTGACACTGCACCAAATTTTTCTTACTATCACGATCTCTTCATTGATCCTCCCTTAATCTTGTCTGACATTGCAGCTATTGTTTATGAAGCGTGGAGGAGAGGTTATTTATGCAGGTCCACTTGGCCCCAATTCTTGCAAGCTCATTGAGTATTTTGAGGTTAAATTTTCTTGTTGACTGCTTCCAACATTAAACGTTCTACATCAAGTTGATGGTTAAATTGGGTTTGAGTCAATTCTCAATATGTTAGGACTATGTATTTGTTTTATAGGCAGTTGAAGGAGTTGCAAAGATCAGACCTAGATATAATCCTGCTGCATGGATGTTAGAGGTCACTTCATCATCAGAAGAAAATCGTCTTGGTGTGGATTTTGCAGAAATTTATAGAAGATCAAATCTATTTCAGTATGTGCAGTTTCCATGAGATTTTGGTTACTGAATTTTCTTCTACTGTTTTTCTTTTTCTTAATCTATCCATATATGCCCGCTTTTTCTTTTTCAGGCGTAACAAAGAGCTGGTTGAAAGTTTAGGCAAACCAAATAGAGAGTCAAAGGACTTGAACTTTCCAACCAAGTATTCTCAGTCATTTTTTGATCAGTTTCTAGCTTGTCTTTGGAAGCAAAATCTGTCTTATTGGCGAAACCCACAATACACTGCAGTGCGTTTCTTCTACACTCTCATCATCTCGTTGATGCTTGGAACTATATGTTGGAAATTTGGTTCGAAAAGGTTACAACTGATTCTTCTCTTAATTTATCTTTTGTCTGTGTGAATAATACATAAATGTTTTTATGACTTGTTTCACTAATCTTTGATGCTTTTCTTCCACACCATTCATGACATTAATCAAGACAAGGCTTCCTTGTCTGGATTGGGTTAATTTGTATCTTTGTTGTTTTAAGAAAATGATGAACATTGTGGACAAATAAGGTATCAAATATCAATAGGCCTTAGGGCCTCATCTGCTTCTAAGGGCCTCACGTGCACCAAAATAAATAAATAATTAATCAGTAGGATTTATACAGATGAATGGATGAATATCTTGCAACTTGCAAGATACTGTTGATTTCCATGGTTGTTTCCGTATCCTGGCTAACCATTTCCAAATGCTTAGGGAGAATGATCTTGCATTGTCTATTTTTAAAATTCTCAAATGTGAACCATTTAGCAGCAATTTGCTAGTTATGACCTTATGATTCTGCTACTGTGGCCAGATCAAGGATTGAGCTTTCCAGTTCTCATTTTGACTGGAAAATTTGTTCATGGAATATAGTGGTTGACCTTAATGTTGACATAAGCAAGAACCAACTGAAAATGAGATGAAATTATTTGTTGAGGTAACTTATAATAGTCTGAGAAAGCTCATTGACTCTACAAGTGGAGTGATATTGGTTCTGTTTGGTGTAGCTGTTAAAACAGATTATAGATTATTACAAAACAGATTATAGATTATTACTTAACAGATTATAGATTATGACTTTAATCAGAAGCTGTTAATCTGTTTGGTGTAACTGTTGGATTTTAGATTTAAGTTGTTGAGTAGTGTTTGTCAAATAAGCTGTGAAGTAGTTTTTTCAATGAACTTTTATTTTTTATTATTCACTATTTGTCTACATTTCTCATAAAAAATAATAATGATATTCTATAGTTCATTTAGGTCTTTTTCTGTTTTTAAGAACATAAAAAATAAAAAAATCTAAGAGTATAAGAGCATCTCCAATGCACTAGGCATATAATACTTGTTAGTTAAAATGCCTAGTGTGATTCACTTTTTTCAATTCCAATGCACTAGGCATATGATTAGGCATTTTGCCTCAACTCATATTCACTAGCTACATGTAGCTAGCCTTCAACGCTAGGCAAAATGTATTCATTCATTAGGATCATTTCCCTCCATCTTTGTTGTTGACGTGTCATTCTATAAAATTAATAGTATTTGGATAAATAGCTAAAATAAAGAGCATGGTTGGAGTAAAAACATAAAACAGTTGATAGGCAAAATAAAATATATACTTTATAGTAATATTTAGATAGGTAAAATGCCTACTACCGTTGGAGATGCTCTAACCGTGAATTAATATGTCCACAGCAGAAGCTGATAATCAGAAGCAAGGGGTGAGCAGCTTCTCAGAATCAGTTTTTTTGACTTAAAATAAGTTATTAGAATCAGAAGCTGTTCGAAATAAATTTAACCAAACAGTCTAAAATAACTTTTTAAAAGCCAAAAGTCATAAGTTGGCTCAAAAAAGCCCCACCAAACATTGTTCTGGTGAAGAGGATATTAGTTTCCTGGATTTAGCCCCAGATAGAGCTTAATTCTGTTATTTTTTTAGTAGACTTCAGTGTTTGAGTTTAAATTGAGTTTGGATTGTCCCATTTGTAACTGCACTGTTGCCTCTTAGATTCCATTTTGTGAGTGAAGACTGGCTGATGGACATTCATTAATTCACCATTGAAAAAGGTGGATTGCTAGATTCTGCCTTCTATCTTTTTGTGATGTTATTTAGCACGATCCTCTCTTTTTACCCATTCTCCTCAGCAAACTCCTTTTCCTTTATGGTTTATATTATAGTATAGGCATGTTTGTTCATTTTTCATAACCTAATTTTTTTTTATACAATCTTCAGGGACACGCAGCAGGAGATATTTAATGCTATGGGATCCATTTATGCTGCAGTTTTGTTCCTTGGAGTCACCAATGGCGCTGCTGTTCAACCTGTTGTCTCTGTTGAAAGATTTGTTTCATATAGAGAAAGAGCCGCAGGGATGTATTCAGCTCTACCATTTGCGTTTGCTCAGGTCTCCCCCTTTTGACAAATTTTTTTTTCCCAATGAAAAATGCAAACCTTCCAGAATTGTCATACAGAATCATTCACCAGAATACAGACTTTTCATATAGATCGAAGTGGCTTCTTGTGGTCCATTCATTTCAAATCAAAACACCCACCATTGTCTTCATAATTTAAAAATGCAATTGACACATCATTCTAAATGTGTTTTCTGTATAAGTTTTTTTTGTTTGTAAATCTTTTCCCTTTTTGATGTTAAGAAGCTCTTGATGAGTTTTTATTTTAAAATGATAGGATCACAACTCTGTTACATCATTCTGTATGCATTTTTCTGTTTTCATTGGTCTTCAATATGCTTACTAATGCTATATCATATTTTTCTGCATGCAGGTTGCCATCGAGCTCCCTTACGTGTTTGCGCAGACGCTTATATACTGCACAATATTCTACTCCTTGGCAGCATTTGAGTGGACTGCTTCAAAGTTTATTTGGTACACATTCTTTATGTATTTCACCGTTCTATACTTCACGTTTTTCGGAATGATGACTACTGCTGTCACGCCAAACCATAATGTGGCCGCCATAATTGCTGCTCCATTTTACATGCTTTGGAATCTCTTTTGTGGATTGATGATTCCTCACAAGGTAATGAAGCAATACTTTGTTGCTCCTTTAGGCTGTGTTTGGTTGGGGGATTTGGGAAGGGATTTGGAAAAGGAAAGGGAAAGGGAAAAGATGTGTGAAATTAGGTAAAATGTAAGTATATTTTATTCACAATTCACCTTCCTTTTTCATTTCCCTTTTCAAATCCTTTCCTAAATCTCTCAATCAAACACAACATTAGTTTCAAAATTTCACTACACATTTCTTTGATGCACATTCAATATACATGAATTGTTTGATTGGAACATTTTGTCAACTTTCACTGATTTCATTAATGTTGTGCACTAGTGGCTTTTATAATCAGCATGCTTATGTAGGTGGCTATTTGATATGTGAAACCCAACTAATGAGACAATGTGATGGTTTTGCATGTTCTGATTATCTATTGCTCATGTTTGGAAATTAATATATAGATACGGCAGAGATACAACAAATGTTTTGTACTATATATTTTTATTTATTATGTATATGGACATAAATTTAGGGCACAATAAGAGGCATGTATATATATATTTTTCATTCACTTTCCCCATCTTTGCTTCCATATATTGTACTTTTGATCCTGAATCTTTTATCTAAAAAAAAACATTTAAGTGTCTTGAGACACGTTCAAATAAAGCATGTGTGTTCATGAAGTGTCCCAACCTGTCCTGCAAAAAAAAAAAAATAATACAAAGAAAATTGACATGTCACGTGGCGTGTGAAACGCATACAACACTCATTTTGGAGTATTCATGATTTCTAGCCATGAACAAACTCCTCACTCTTGAAAACCTCAACGGGCTGAAGTTATTTGGTGGCCTTGGGGCATGGCCACATAGTGCCCTAGGTATGTTGTGATTGGTGAAGATGATATGACCCGATTTTGTATTGGGTTATGGGAGAACAAGAAGGGGCATGGTGTTTTGTGATTAGTTAGGGCATGACCATGTGGTACTTGAACCACCAAATAATTTTTCCAAATGGTCCACTACTGAAAACCCCAACCTGCCCACTCTCTCTCACGCGCACACATGTTCATGCTTGTACATTTTTCTTTTTGTTCCTGTGTTCCTGTTTTCAGACAGTAATCAACATTTTCCACTGCTTTTACAGAGGATCCCCATATGGTGGAGATGGTATTACTGGGCAAACCCCATAGCTTGGAGCCTCTACGGCCTTCTAGCTTCCCAGTACGGGGACAGTAATCAACTCGTGAAGCTATCAGACGGAGTACACTCCATGTCCACAGGACTACTCGTTAAAGAAGTGTTTGGATTCAGGCACGATTTCCTTGGCATTGCCGCTTTCATGGTGGTTTTCTTTTGCATGTTTTTCGCGGTGATATTCGCTTATGCAATCAAATCCTTAAACTTCCAAAAGAGATAACAAGGCAGAGCGGATGCTATGCTGCTAGAACCATAATTTATGTTGTTGTGTTCATAACAGGTATTCAGTTCCTATATAGCTATATATATAAATCCTGATATTCATTCATATGGAAATCTGATTGTAGAGTACAAGTTGATAGTCGGGGTAACATATTTTTTTTTTATTACCTTAATAATTTGTTCCATCCTTTATTCCCGTCTTGATTTGAAGGATTATTAGTGTTATATATTGTAAATTATTTTATTTTATTCTAATTTATGATTTTGTATTTAGATGCAATAGAATCAATTTTGACCATTTCCTATTCTTTTATGTCTTTAGCATTTGCATTCATGTGTGTTCATCCATATTTTTTGTTACGGTAGTGCAAACTTGAAGGTGCTTTTGATATAATCTCAACTAAAAATGATGTAGAAAGAATATATTTGGTCTTGTCACAGTTGGTGCAAATTTGGTAAATGAGATGGAAAGAGATAAAATAATTAGTATTGTTTCAAGACGCGTTATAAGATCGCTTTTCTTAAGATGATATTCGCCCCCATCAATTTTGTCAAATGTGGTGTGCACTGGGTTACCTGTGAATCCGCTTCCAGGATATGATGTAGCCCAGTCTAAATACTGATGTTTGACTGCGTTATGCACGAACGAAATCAAATCCCGAATACCTTTGGATTTTTTTAATCCGTTAGGTATAGAGGAAAATAACAATATAAATGTTAGAGAGAAATTTCATGGATATTCTATAGATTTCATTTGAATGATTTCTATCTAATTTTCTAACCCATTCTGCTTTTATATAGGCATGGGTTTGTATCCCTTAAACCAAAGGTCGTGTCCTTTAAATTCAAAAGTGACATCTTTTAAATCTAAGAGTCATGTCTTTTGGTTTAAATTCAATAGTTACACCCCATGGTTTAAATACAAAAGACACACTTTTTTGTTTAAACTCAATGGTTATATCCTTTGATTTAAACTCAAAAGTCACATCTCTTTAATCATTCATATAACTATATTATATATTTAAATATATTATGAAAATGTTCCAACATTCTCTCACCATTTTCAAAATATATGAAAATAACTTGGATAGGTTAGGAAAATTTATGCATAAATGAAGATATTTTTCGATTTGAATCATTCACTTATGTTGTGTTTGGTTGGAGGATTTAGGAAGGGATTTGGAAAGGGAAAGGAAAAAGATGTGTGAAACTATGTGAAATTTAGGCATATTTTATTCTCATTTCACCTACCTTTTCCATTTCCCTTTCTAAATCCCTCCTCAAATCCCCCAACCAAACACAGCATTAGTGAAAACACATCAAAGTTAATCAAGATGGCATAGTAGACTTGCCTTTGAACTAGCGATCTTTATACGATTAACCGGACACGTCTCACACACAAATTTCCTTCTCCTTAGGTAATTCAAAAAAGCCAACACGTGGATTGGCCTTGTGTCTATATCCTGCCCCCCTTAGATTCACAGGAAGCAGCACCACCTCCTATACTCATATGGGTAAGTTTACTGAGACTACTCCTGTAACTAAAGTACCCTAACTCAACGTTGTAAACTTATTATGTCACGACCCCCTCCCCGTATCCAAAGGTTAAGCATCGTGATGGCTAGTAACTGAAGTTACTTCCGGTCAATTCTTAAACAAATTACTAAGCGCAAGCAAAAAAAAATTAAGTGAGGGTACCAAAATAATCATTGGAACTTCTACTTTTATAATAAAATTTATTGACAAAAAAGGCTGATATTTATATATGAATAATAGAATTATAAATACTATAAAAGTATTGTGTGTGTCTATTCCGCTGCCCCGCGTCTAAGACTCTCCAAAAACTATTTCTAAATTGCATTATTTCCTAAAAATTGGTAAACAACTATAAGCACATGGCAGAGTGAGAAATATTATACTAAGAGTATAAGGGCATAAAATTCACCATGGATAATTATTGGCTAAACAAAGCTTGATATTAAGATACAGAGTATATAATACAGGGATCATTTGACATATAATACAAAAATCATATAAACAAAATAATCATAATCATGGTATAGAATGGAACAGAACAGATGTATGGACTCAAGAAGTAGCTCGTACAAACTCTAAAGGTGGCTCCTACCATAGTGTAGCACTTAGTTCTGTACAACACTTTGTTCCACACCAAAAATCATAACCACGGTACAGAACAGAACAGATGTATGGACTCAAGATGTAGCTCGTACGAACTCTAGAGGTGACTCCCACAATAGTGTAGCACTTAGCTCCATACAACACTTTACTCCACACTAGAAATCAGAGTGTTAGTGGATCCATGACAGACAGAGGGTCACAAAGTGACTAATCAGAGGGCCAATGGTTATTTAAGTCCTCCAAGGCATAGAACCTTCGTGGTGGTACTTATAAAATAATTACTCAAAACACATTTTAATAAACAGTTATATTCATAGATTTTCCTTATTATATAAAATAAGATTCATAAAATACATAACATAATTAAAACACAATTTATGTAAAATAAATTATGATAACTCAAAACATACATAAAATAGATAATAATGACTCAAAATATAATATAACTCACCTAAATATTGACTCTTATTATTTTCTATTTCCTCCGATTTTTCTAAACCTCAGTCCTTGCTTCTGCTTCTATTTGTGATGCCTCCGCTTATTACCTCAACTCCTATATATACATGTTTGAAGTGCTGATGCCTCAAGCCCAAACATCTCCCTTAATTATTATATGCACAGGTGGCATAAGTTGGTTGCTTCCAGCAAGGGCTTCTAGATTTATCAACAGATTAACTTCATTCTATTAGGGCCACCTCTCAACTTTTGGTAAGTAATTATACTTGGGTCTCATGTAACAAAAATTACATCATCCACATAATTATTAAATTTATTTTACTATTACCACCACCATTATTATTATTATTATTATTATTATTATTATTATGGTAATAATTAAATATTTAAAATTTTTCTCATTCATAATTAAATAATATTAATATAAAATTTAAGAGACAACTTAAATTTTCGAATTATTACGTATTAAGAGCCAAGTAGCTCAACCTCCTCTTTTACATTACAGGTCCCAAGCACTTTATACCTCGGGATGGTTATAAAAATAAAAATTTAAGTGCTTACAATCACAACATATGGTGTACTTAAGTTTATTAAACTCAAGGACTTGATGTTTCTTCAAGTGTTGAGTTGAGTTTTTACCACCAATGATATATTACTTGAGTTTAAAACCCATCCCCTTTGATGATCTCACATCAAATCCCTTGCAAGTATTTCTTAAGATAATTTACAGTCACGTTGACAAAAATTCTTACTTTGATGATCTCACATCAAATCCCTTGTAAGTATTTCTTAAGATAATTTATAGTCACGTTGACAAAAATTCTTACATAATTATGTATTACCACAGTTTATGACGTGATCAACATGTCCGAACTAACAATCACTATCATAACTATCACACTACAAAAATTTGCACTTTTGCCAACTAAAAATTTAGTCAGCAAAAGTTCATTTTTGGTCGGCAAAAGTTATCCGCAACTAATTTTTTTGATCGCCACTTTGGTCGCCAATTGAGGGTCGCGAAAAGTAATTAGCAACTAAAAAAATTTTTTGTCGCAAAAAAATTCTATTTGCTGACTAAATTTAATTATTGCTACTAATCTATTTAGTAACTGAAAAACTTTAGTTGCGAAAAGTCAAATTTTCCCAACCAAAACGTTTGGTTACCAATTGTCACATTCCACGACTAAACATGTTAGTTGCCAAAGGAAAGTTTGCGCAACTAAAACTTTAGTCGCCAATAAACCTATTAGCGACCAAATCCTTTAGTTGCCAATATTAATAATTTTAATAACTAATTATTTAGTCGCCAAATGTACCCTCTCGCCTACCTTATTCAGTCAACAAAAGTCTTACTTATCTTTCTCGACTAATCACTTGGTCACCAAAATAGGAAAAACAAAACCAAAATTTTGTCGCCAACATCCAACAAAATAAACCTGTAATTCATAATAATCCATCCAATCTATTCAATACAATTTATAATTTACAATAATCATTCAAACCAACAATTCAACAAAATCGTGAACATTCAATAAAATATATAAATCATCCAATCCTAAACATATTTAATGAAAATCAGTAACTATTATAAATTTTCATCCACAAGTAATTCCAAACTATATATTCCTCCAATTAAAATTCTGCTTGTAATATATATAATCATTCAATTCACATCCATCTAGCATAAAAATTTAAAACATAACAAGTACTTGTTATTATGTTTTAAATTTTCATCTATAGACATCTTTCAAAAAATATAACTAATAGTCTACCTAAATATTTACCATACACACCCATCCAAAAATATAACTATTAGTCTATCCAAAAACATAACTACTAATTTACCCAAATCTTTTCCATACACATCTATCCAAAATTATATAATCCTTCCAAAAATGCTTATAGTGCCAATTAGTCCTATACAATTTAACTTCGTACACGAGTGCATCCATCTATACGAAACAAAAACAAAAATAATGTCAATTACTTTTTTTATGATAATATTTGCACATCACTTTATTGTAAAATTTGACAAAAAAAGAAAAATGTCCATGAAAAGTAAAGGTAACATGAACAAATCACACAAGTTATCAATACCATTTTTTTTATATCTAATACGGGGCCAGTTTCGAGGCTGTTACCAACTTGATAGTTAAATAAAATGGTTTGTCTAAAAAAGGCAAACGTAGAAACTAAGTTTCATGAAGAATTTCACAAATTAACTTCACCCAAGGAAAAGGCGAGAACATAATTTAGATTCCAAAACTTACTTAGAGGTCCAAAGATGACCCAAAAAAACAATGGAGGGCTACAGGATCATATGTAAATCCAATTAAGTAATTAAATATAAGGATGTAAGAAACCTTGACATAAAACTAATAAAACAAAGAAATAACGAGCAATCAAAGTAAACAAAAACTAATTGGAGATAACTTCTAATAAGAAGGCATCCTTGGAGTGTGAGGTACTACTCAAAAAATTAAAAAAAGAAAAAGAAAAAGAAGAGTTAGATTACTGAGGTCTAACCTCAATATCAGAAATTTTGGATGGTTTGACTTTGTAATTTGGAAAGCATTATGTGGCAGGGCACGGCTTGTGTCACCAATCACAGACAATGCTTCACAAACTTCACACAACACAACTTACAAAAAAACTCATTCAAGTTCTGGCTCCATAGAAGGCTATTATTTATGTAGGCAATCAAGGGTTTGCTACATACTCTTCAACTGCCAAACAAAAGAAAAGAGAAAAACATTATTAAAATAAATATTGAAATACACTAGTCAGATAAATGTTTCATGTACGACATTTATTGGGTGGGAATTGCTAAGCAAATTAATTGTGTAATTTTGCTCAAATTAGAGGGATCAATTATGTAGTTTACCTCAATTTAATTTAAGTCGTGATTCCAAGTCTAGTTTTCGAAACAGGACTTCACAAGGTTTGAGTAACAAGTTCAAAACAATTTCTGGGGGTTGAGAAATTTGTTTTAAAATTGCTCGATTTTGGTAAAATTAAATCTTTTAAAGTCTTTTCAAACTTCATTTAAGTAATATATGCTATATGAATCTAAAGGAAGTTGGCATACTCCTTGGGTTGCTTCTGTTCGGATGCCACCAGCAGCAAGATCTGCTGAAACAGTTTTTGATCCTTCTGAGGCCGCCTTCAAGTGGTAGTACTTCACAATTGGTAATTTTGGGAAGATGAATGCATATAAAAGAATAAATAGAACCTTAAAGAATGTCGAGATTGCTAGAAACAACACTGCAAAAAGACATCAATACAACTAATTAATGACAACAATTACTATAATCTGAATGTTGCTTCATAGATCTTACTTAGATGAAAGTTCATTTTTTGGAAGGACTGAAACTTCTAAGGAAAAGGAATGCACAACAATGAGATTCTGTTCATTTCTTTTCGCTGCAGCTTACATTTTGACTTACACTTGTCTCTACAGAAGTTGTTTGAACTGATTCAAGGTTTTTTGCTTCGTCGGTTCTTTTAGACTAGTGGATCCTAAAAATTACAAAAAATAATTGGATTATCCAACAAAAATAAGCCAACTTTTTAAGGTTTTTTGGGGCAAAATTTGACTTATTTTCATTTTTAGTGGACTTTTTGCATTGTCTAGATGGACATAAAAACTAATAAATTTGACTCAAATTTGAAAAGATTTCACCGAAGACAAAAAATAATAAGCTTAACTACTCACATTTTTCTCCTTAATTTGAACTATTTACCATTATAGAATTTTCAATTGTAGTAAACTAATAAATGATAGACTATCCCACTGTGTTTAAAACAACTTTGATTCAGACCCCCACTGTTTTTCTACCCCCACCACCCCCACATACACGTGGGGGTTGGCCATTGAAAAAAAAAAAAGAAGGAAGAAGTAGAAGAAAAAGAAAAATGGGCCAATCAGCTCCCACTGGCGGTCTAGGGGTCTCCCCCAGTGGGGGTACAAACCATTTTCCTTGTTTGTTAATAAGCAAGTTAGTAAAAACAGTAACTTTAGATAAAACAACATTTAACATTGTTTTCAATTCCAAAATGTATTCCCTCCCCCCCCACAAAAAAAAAAAAAAAAAAAAAAAAAAAAAAAAAAAAAAAAATCACATGAAGGATAGGTCTCCAACCATTCCACCTTAAACATGGGCATCTGCAACTCCGAAAGCAGCAACAATGATTGCATATACCAATAAAATTTCTAACTCCTCCCTTCCTTGATGTCGCTAAATCCAGCTGTCAAAGTGACACCAAAGTACATCCACATTGGTTATTGTGGTGGATGATTTAATAATTAAGGAAACTGGATTGTGAAACACACAAAATGGAGTTGTTGCAGTACTTACAACTAATAGAGCGAAAGTACAAATGAAGAAAAGGATGTATCCAGTCAAGTTGCACCGCCTTGTGTCAATCTTTGACTCATTATATGCAAGTATTGTCATTGTTCCAAGTGCAAATGGTTGATAGACAAGGGTTAGTACCCTTGAAGGGTGATATTTCTTCAAAAGCGAAAAAAAATAACATCAAAATGAGTGGCTATTGGAATCCAAACAAATCGGTTCATTTGTAAGAAGTAATTTGTAAACATTCAAATTTTGATAGGATGAAGAAATGTGGAACAACATAAGGAATTTATCAATTGAGTTCACATGATTAAGCTATTGATGGCAGTATCTATGATGATATCATGCTAATGAATTTTCACTGGCTTATGATAGACATGTTTTCACTAATTTAAAATAACTCTGACTAATGTAATAAATCTCATTGTACCATTATTATTCTTTCATCACATTTTATCAACCATTGCATCAAATATGAAAGAAATATTCCATTAAATTACAAATATTCAGTGAGATGTTCACTGAATATCTAAACTTGTCAGAAAATTAACTCCATGACAAGAGTAGAAAAGATTTCATTATAATAAAAGCCATCAATAAACCTTATAGCAATGATAACGCATCTTATTGTTATATTTTTATTCATCCATCTATTAGATTTAACTTATCATTTAATAAATGATGTTCTAGAATTTTAGAGTTTAGACCAGTAACCATGACATGAAACCATTGGACCATAAAATTTGAAAAACAATAACGAATAAAAAGGAAACATGCTCAAAAACAAAACAAAAAAAACAAAAACCAAAAAAACAGGGCCCCCAAATAAATGCAAACAGAGAATACCAGCATGTTGATTATAAAAATTGATGGAAATAAAGACAGATTACAATGTTTCCAGTAACATGATAAATTGTCGAAAGTAAAAGTAGCTTTCGTCACTTGCAGTAAAATGGTAGTTTCTTCTTAGTGCCGGGGCATACCTTCTCATTTTCTGAAACCTTCACCAAAATTCAGGCTACATTTGCTGTTGGGCTGTTCACCTTTCCCATGCACAGGATGTATATATAAACATAATATCTAATTAAATATTCAAAATTAAGTTTGTTAAAAAGTTACCAATTCAAGTTCCAAATATAAAGAAATACCCTGATGAATGGGCTCCAACTGCAACTGATTTCAATATTGACCACGATTTAGATCCAAAAGCTTGCCCACATTGCAACAAAACCTGTTCTGTTCAAATCTGAATGGGCTGTTAGTAAATCATCATTTTCAATTATTTAATATATATATATATATATATTAACTCTATTCTTTAATTTTGATGTTGTTCAACTTATATTTTGTTATACATAATGTCTATGTTCTTTAGGTAAATGGAGACAGAAAAACTCGATTATTTGTGTATTGGACTTAAAATCAAACCCATTTACAACATCAAACCCATAAAACTCTAGAAATCAAACCAATTAAACCAAATCCATTAAGAAATCAACACGAAATTAAACTGAACAAATCATTTCAAACCTAGAGCAAGAGTGAAAAATGGGAAAATAGAGGAAGAACATCAAACCCTAGAACAAGAGTGAGAAATGGGAGAAATAGAGGAAGAATATCAAACCCTAGAGCAAGAGTAAGAAATGGTGGAGAGAGAGAGAGAGAGAACCTGAATGTAAGCTGGAGGCGAGCCAACGGTGATGTGCGACTGTGATTTGCGGCGGTGGCGATGTGCGACGTCGCACGGCGGTGAGCGACGGTGAGATGAGCGGATCGCGGTGAGGTGAGGTTAGGTGCGGTTTGGTTCGGTGGTGTTTGATTTTGTGAGAGAGAGAGAACAAGCCAGTTTGTATTCCAAACAGATTTGATACCAAAAAAAATATAATAATAATAATAATAATAATAATAATTAAAAATAATGGCGCCAATCCGAAAATTTTTCTCAGTTCAAAAAAAAAAATGAAATTTTTCTTTTTATCTTTGGCGACTAAAATATTTTTTAGTTGCTAAAAATATATTTTTAGTGATCAAATTTTTGGTCGCCAAAGATAAAAAGTAATTTTTAATTTTTTATTCGGTGACTAAATAATTTTTATAGTCAAAATAAATTTTTGACAACCAAACTTTAGGTCGCAAAAAATAAAAAATAAATTTTTGTATTTCATTCGACAACTAAATAATTTTAGTAGCCAAAACTAACTGTATAGCAATTAAAATATTTTTTAGTCGCTAAAAATAAATTTTTAACGACCAAACTTTTGGTCGCCAAAGATAAAAATAAATTTTTGGGTTTCATTCGGCGACTAAATAATTTTAGTAGCCAAAATTAAGTATACAATGACTAAAATATTTTTTAGTCGCTAAAAGTAAATTTTTGGAGACCAAACTTTTGGTCGCCAAAGCTAAAATGTAAATTTTTGTGTTTCATTCGACGACTAAATAATTTTAGTAGCCAAAACTAACGATACAACGACTAAAATATATTTTAGTCACTGAAAATATATTTTTTGTGACCAAACTTTTAGTCGCCAAAGATAAAAAGTAAATTTTTATTTTTTATTCGGCGACTAAATAATTTTAATAGTCAAAACTAACTATACAGCAACTAAAATAATATTTTAGTTGCTAAAAATATATTTTTAGCGACCAGACTTTTGGTCGCCAAAGATAAAAAGTAAATTTTTATTTTTTATTCGGCGACTAAATAATTTTAATAACCAAAACTAACTATACAGCAACTAAAATAATATTTTAGTTGCTAAAAATATATTTTTAGCGACCAAACTTTTGGTCGTCAAAGATAAAAAGTAAATTTTTGTGTTTCATTTGGCGACTAAACAATTTTAGTAGCCAAAATTAACTATCCAGCGACTAATATATTTTTTAGTCGCTGGAAATAAATATTTGGCGACTAAACTTTTGGTCGCCAAAAATAAAAGTAAATTTTTATTTTTCATTCAGCGACTAAATAATTTTAGTAGCCAAAACTAACTATACAATAACTAAAATATTTTTTAGTCGCTGAAAATAAATTTTTGGCGACTAAACTTTTGGTTGCTAAAAATAAAATTTTAATTTTTGTTTTTCATTTGGCGACTAAATAATTTTAATAGCCAAAACTAACTACACAGCGACTAAAATTTTTGTTTAGTCGTCAATTGTGGGATTTTTAGAGACTAAATTTTTTTTTAGTCGCCAATAATCAATATATCACAACTAAAAAAATTTAGTAGCTAAATATAGCACTTTTGCCAACTAACATAATTTTTGATCGTCAATTCCACAACTTTTGGCGACCAAAATTGTTTTAATCGGCAAAAGTGGTCGCCAAAAGTATATTTTCTTGTAGTGAACTCACATTAATGATGAGATTGAGAACCGTCTCTTCAAGAAAAATCCGTGACAAAAATATCATGTCTTCATCTCTTTTGTTACTAGAGACTAAGAACTGTCTCTTCAATTCTAAGAGATAAACCCCCACCAAGAGTAATCTTTATTCACTCTTAAGCCATAGTTTAGGTGTCGTTTGGGAAGTGGGTTGGCTTTTTGACTTTTTGGCTTTTTTGACTATTTTAGCTTGTGACTAAAAAGCCTGGTTTGGGAAGGACTTTTGGCTTTTATGACTTTTTTTTGAGAGAAAGAATGTAATGATTATAGGTTGGATGTGGTGTTTTGTCTTATTGGGCTAAAAAACTTATTTTATTTTTTGTGACTATTTTAGCCAAAAAAGCCCAAAAAGCCTCTTCCCAAACAGAGGCTAAGTGTTCAAACAGGAGCCTATGTATCCTTTCAAATAACGGGGTACCCACTTTAACATATAAACTAACCATTCTCAATAACTTTGAGAAATTAAAAATTATGGGATTAAACAATTAATACTAAAGATATTTAGAACTAATACTTTCTTGTATCTTAAGTCTCATGATTTGTGCTTGTATTTGTTTTGAATCATAAATTGACCAATCAATATAAAATTTTCATTCAAATACAAGTTACTTAAATTAGAAATTTTAATTTATTTATTCAGAAAATTTTCCAAGTATATAACATATATTCTATATTTTCTCAAGTTTCTAGAAATCACAATCCAAAAAGCATATCTTGATTTTAACAATTAAAATCATAACTTGATTTTAAAAACACATTCTTGAAAACTTTCACAAAATATTTTTCAAATATTTGTGCTTTTCCTTTTCCAACTTCAAAGTCATTTTATGAAAAGATCATACATATCAACTTCTAGATGTATACCCAAACATATAGACTAACTATATAAATAGTTTAATAAAACTTTAGAACAAATCATATTAACAATATCTTACAAAACTTAGAAGTTTCATGCAAATTGATAATATGTAAATAAAATAATAAAATCACGTGTTTCACAAATAACATATAAAATGTTGCAGAAATAAAGTTGACCCAAGTTCTATCACTGAACACTGAAAGCCACAAAGATTTTACTTTCTGAATTACTCATTGATTGTAAACATATACCAACAAAAATTATATCTATTATGCAATAGAGAAAGCAAAACTTAAATATTCATAACAGTTTCTTTTATGGCATAAATTCAAAATTGATCAATAACAAACTAATTTCAAAACGGAATATGAAATACTAATATCTTACAATTTGACTTTCATCAAATGTATACATATATATCTTGTTTCATGTTGATTAGAATTTAATGCTTTTATATTAAATCACCAAGTCAAACCCCTTCACCACTGACGGTTACAAAAACAAACAGCAACCTCCTCTTACACTAAGGACAAGACATGAAGATCGAGAGATACACACAAGTGCCTAGTTGGAAACTCCAATTGGTTCAAATATAAATTTGATTGTGTAGACAAGAAAGTCAAACTAACATTTTAATGACAAACAGAAAATAAAAATAAAAGATGATATTGGCCACTAAAATTGCCAATCAATATTTATGCCCATGTATTCAGTATAAAAAAGGAACATAAATTTCCAGTAGCATAAAGATCACAAATTTATTGGCACAAACTTATCTATATATATTGTTAAAATCCACCTACTCTCCACCTACTTCACCCACTTAAACCTACTCCACTAAACCTAACCCACTACACCACTACCACCTCCACTTCACCTACTCCTTACCTACTACATACTCACCCTCTTCTATATATAGGAATCATGAATCATTGTAATAGATATCAATATAAATCAATCAATAATACAATTCTCTATTTCTCTTTATACATTAAATTTCTACATGGTATCAGAGCAAGGTTAAGCACTTAGTATTTTTCGTTTCACCGGCGGGCGGCACCCTCGCCTTGGCCGCCCGCCGGACCTCAACCTATTCCGCTTATTTTCTACACATACCTTCCCATCACTGCCTAAATCCTCTCTCTTGAGGCCAATGTGAATTCCTCTTCTTCATAATCTGCACTAACTGTGGCATCTTTTCCTGGGGCAAACTCTGCAACCCAACACTCAATCTATGCTTCTCCTCCATGCTCATTTGCCTCTTGTTAGGATCCTTCGCCTTCGGCTTTGGTTTGGGCTTCGCCACAGCCTTGAGCTTCACTGCAGCTTTCAGCTTCACGGCAGCCTTCGGTTTCACAGCAGCTTTTGGCTTCGCAGCTGGCTTGGCCTTTGCCGCTGGCTTGGGCTTCACAGCGGCTTTAGCTTTTGGCGCAGCAGCTTTTGTCTTAGCCGGAGCCTTCTTTTCCTTTTTCGCTTTTACAGCCTTCGGCTTTGCAGCAGCCTTCGGCTTTGCTTCCCTCTGGTGGCTCCCCAGGTTCCACCTGAGCTGCATGATTCATTTATAGCTGGCAAATAATGACCCAAGACTACAAATGATAATGTATATATAATGTACCGACCATGACATCACACAAGGAATAAAATCACAATGTTACATTACATGCATTGGCTAACTTCTTTACTACAATCCAGCTTTCAGAATGCATAAAAGTTTACTTCTGCAACCAAGTATTGTTCAACTTGACACGCAAAACAACTTAAAAAAGAGAGAAAAAAAAAAAATATATATATATATATATCCAAACACGATTCGGACACTTGAGGGACACATATGTCTAACACTCAGACACACAAGAAACAAATTATAAGTTTGAACAAAAAAAACTTAGAATATGTTAAAATCCACCTACTCTCCACCTACTTCACCCACTTAAACCTACTCCACTAAACCTAACCCACCACACCACTACCACCTCCACTTCACCTACTCATTACCTACTACACACTCACCCTCTTCTATAGATTTCCACAGAGGGCAGCAGAGGGCGTCATCTCAATTTGTTCATGTCATAAAGAGGCTAAGGTTGGTGGGGGCTACACTTGTCCAAGATGCAAAGCACGCGTTTGTGAATTGCCTACTGAATGTAGAATTTGTGGCCTGACCCTTGTTTCTTCTCCCCATTTGGCGAGGTCATTTCACCATCTCTTCCCAATAACACCATTTGATGATGTGTCTCCTTCCACCCTTTCAAAGAAACCACACCACTTACTCTTGTTCCCCACCTTTTGCACACACCCATCTCCCTTTTCATTTTTTAAATCAATCCTCCACTCACGACTATCATCACATTTTCCCACTTTTTCAAACCCACTTTAATTTCTCTCCTTTTTCCTTACTTTCTTCCACCCACGATTTCACCATTTTCTTTTCTTTTAATATATATATATATATATATATATATATATATTTTTTTATAACAAAAAAAAAAAA